AATGTAGCTTGAAATTCGACGGCGCGTGCTTGATAATTTCAGGCGACCGCGGCTCGGTGTATTATTAAATGCAGGCTGCTGGATAACTTTTGTTTTCCTTTCTTCCGGCCACTCTTTCAGCCGTTACCCATTTTTCCACGCTGAAATTGGACGTGGATTTGAAAAGGACCTCCTCTGTTCCCGGTTACGCTCGGTGTATATAAAAGTGTACACCAAGTAAGAGTATTACAATTTGTATTCCAGGCAACAAAAGCTTCTCTTGCTACTTCATGCTTGATCTTTGAAATAATAATACGCTCCCGTAATAATATGGGTAAAAGGATTTCTTTTTTTTCCTTTTTTTTTAGGCGTTTCGTCCTTGCCTTGAATTTCTCTCAAAGGTTTCCCGCTCTAAGGGGGAAGCTTGCTTTATGCAAACTTTACCGCGAAAACTCGAAAAAGCGGTACTTTCGGAGTATTTTTTTCTTCTTCTTTTTTTCTTCCGCGGAACTGGTAAGAGATAATTGAATGGAAGTTTTCTGGGGATCAATTAGGCAACGTTCCGAGATAGAATTTACATTTTATTAATGGTGAAAAATATTAATTCGCGAATATACATGCAAATTCATACAAGCCATCGGAAATACAGTGGCCCCCGGCGTTGTAAATTCAATTGCGGTTACCATCTATACATGGCCTTTAATAACGTAAACTGAATAAATTGATAAATTTTCATAATTATGGAAATTCTGTTTGATAGAGAAATATACGTCTTTTTCATGAAAATTAGACGCTCTTTCGAACGAAAGCTACGATTATTATTTTAGTTTATACTATAGAGACACTTGTTCCGAAGATGTATGCAGAGTTTCAAGCGAATCTCTTCAGAACTGTAATTTAAAACACACCTTTAATCTTCTACTCCTGCGCGCGCTATTTATATCTGCATAACTTCCACAATTTTACGAATTATGAAAAATAGATTTAGCTCCTTACTCTAGACACCTGGAGCTACCAAATCATCGAAAAAAAAAGTCTATAATTAGAAACACACCTTTAATCTTCTACTCCTGCGTGTGCTTTTTATACCTGCATAACTTCCACAATTTTACAAATTATGAAAAATAGATTTAGCTCCTTACTCTAGACACCTGGAGCTACCAAATCATCGAAAAAAAAAGACTATAATTAGAAACACACCTTTAATCTTCTACTCCTGCGTGTGCTTTTTATACCTGCATAACTTCCACAATTTTACAAATTATGAAAAATAGATTTAGCTCCTTACTCTAGACACCTGGAGCTATCAAATCATCGAAAAAAAAGACTATAATTAGAAACACACCTTTAATCTTCTACTCCTGCGTGCGTTCTTCATACGTTTATAACTTCCACAATTTTACGAATTATGAAAAATAGATTTAGCTCCTTACTCTAGACATCTGGAGTTATCAAATCATCGAAGAAAGAACTATAATTAGAAACATACCTTTAATCTTCTGCTCCTGCGCGCGCTCTTTATATCTGCATAACTTCTACAATTTTACGAATTATGAAAAATAGATTTAGCTCCTTACTCTAGACACCTGGAGCTACCAAATCATCGAAGAAAGGACTATAATTAGAAACATACCTTTAATCTTCTGCTCCTGCGCGCGCTCTTTATATCTGCATAACTTCCACAATTTTACTAATTATGAAAAATAGATTTAGCTCCTTATTCTAGACACCTGGAGCTACCAAATCATCGAAAAAAAAGTCTATAATTAGAAACACATCTTTAATCTTCTACTCCTGCGTGTGCTTTTTATACCTGCATAACTTCCACAATTTTACAAATTATGAAAAATAGATTTAGCTCCTTACTCTAGACACCTGGAGCTATCAAATCATCGAAAAAAAAGACTATAATTAGAAACACACCTTTAATCTTCTACTCCTGCGCGCGCTCTTTATACCTTTATAACTTCCATAATTTTATGAATTATGAAAAAAACAATCAGCTGTCTATTCTAGACGCCTGGAGCTATCACAACATCGAAAAAGGAACTATAATTAAAAACATACCTTTAATCTTCTACTCCTGCGTGCGTTCTTCATACCTTTATAACTTCCACAATTTTACGATCTATGAAAAAATATTTTAGCTGCTTACTCTAGACACTTGGAGCTATCGAACCATTAAAAAAAAATTGTTTAAACAACCCCTTTGAACTGGGACAAATGTTGGTACCATTTTTCTAAAATAGAATTTTATCGTTGCTCCTAATGGCTTTCACAGGAAGCAATTTACGGTACTTCACGTGACTTACATTATTCATTTCCAAGTACAGAATACCGTAAAACGATCATCTGTACGAATCTAGCGCATTATCGTATTCGAAGAATTGCATATACCTATTGACAAAAAAGAAAAGGAGAAAAATATGGGAGATCTCATCGAGATTTCTGCAGATAGCTCGCACGAATTTTAACCCTCTACTGTCGAGGCGGAGTCTCAGAGACTCCGCTGATTCTGCCTTTTTTGTTTTCTTCCATTCTATTTAGAACTCAACGTTGTTATATTAATATGAAATTAATCCAACCAATCGCTCTATTCTATAACGTTCATTAGGAAAATGTGTGATAAAGGTAAATCACACATTTTAGAAAAGTTGTAAGAAAAGTTGTCAGAAATGTTCTATATTTACGTATAAACTAACCGGAAGTTAAGGAGTTTCGTAGACTCCGTATCGGGCTTTGCGTCCCAGAAACGGTGTCTCGACAGTAGAGGGTTAACGCCAAAAAAAAAAAAAAGAAAAAAAACGCGATTCATTATCGTCAAACGTTGTTGTTACCGTCCATACACGGTTTTATTTCGGAAAATTCGCAACGTCCGTTGCGTCAGGGAACGTGGTAGTACGCGAAGCGTCACGATTCCTCCTCGTAGCTTGGAAGTCACGCGAGCACGTTTGGGTGCGTTTTCATCGATCGCTGGATGATAACGTTACGTCGGACTTCTGACACGCTTCTGTGTTCGCACTTCTTTTCACATCGATTTCCCTCAGTTCATTGCACCGTTTTCTCGTCGACGCTTAAATATTTGCGCCCGTTGTTTTCGCTTCTTGTTTGCACGTCCTCGCGCCGCGGCCTTCTCGATCTCTGCCCGATCCCAAGCTGTCGCCGCCGCCGCCGTCGCTCGCGTTCAGTTGTGAATTTCTTGCAGATTCATCTTTCCTTAACTCGTTTTCCCCCCTCACGAACAGAATAGAAAGCAAGCATGAGGTGACGATACTAGGAGGATTAAATGAATTTTCCGTGAAATTCTACGGGCCAGCAGGCAGTAAGTATTACTTCATCTTGCATAATTGATTATTTTTATTCTTAGAATGTAAGTTGATATTTAATGTTGACACGTTAGCGAACTGATGTTGCGTAAGTCAGATCTTACGTTCGGGGGATATTAATAATGTAAAATTGGGGGGAAAAAAAAAAGGAGTAGCTATATCTGTGCGCGATACTACGAGGCGCAACAATTAGTCGGTGTAACGGATAAGAATGAGATATTGTTTTGGTTCCGGCAAACGTGCTGAGGTAGAAAAATGTGAAAGAGTTACTTCGCAATGTTGATATTTCAAATTATTTTGAAGGATGAAGCTAGTTATCTCGTTATCTTAATCCGTCGTATGGCCGAAGGCCAACGAGGTAGGTTATCGAGTTTTTTTTTCTGCGCTTGAAAATTTTTATTTAAGAGTTAAGATAAACGACGAATGCAATATATATATATTTTTTTTTTTCTGGAGTTTCGAATTATATAACGGAAGTTCGATCTTCCCTTTTTGTAATGCTTGCGATACTGAAATAAAAGCTTGTCCTTCGATCTTGATTTAGAAAAATGAAAGACCTTGGCGTAATCGTGAGAGAAAAAACAGCGGTGCTGTTTTATTAACGTGTCGTGTCGTAGAGATAAGAAAGGGGATGAAAAAATTCTGTTACACTTGCTTAAATCTTATCGTTCGTTTAATGTTGGAACATTTGAGAAATGTGTGCTTAATAGCGATCGGTAATTTCTTTACGACTCAGACATACTTGAGGAACGATCTATTGTGAAGTATTAGACCGTTGGAAATCTAGTTGATAATTCTGAAACGGCGATCATCCACTCAGATGGTTTCTCTAAGTCCTCCTAATGCACACATAAATGTACTCCGCGTTTAGACCGTCCTTTGTATAGTGGAACGAAGGAAATTAACACGTTCACTATCCAACGAGTATGCGTACAAAGTTAACGTAATTTAATCGTTACAGAAAAAATTATTAATTATCACACCTACTTTAGGGTATATTCCTTATCTTTAAATAACACTGTTATTTTAATCATTTTCGTAACATTTCAAATATGGACTTGATGTG